AGTATTTTTAATCATTGAGGATATTATTTTTATGCATTGTTCTAAATATAAGGAATAAATAAATTAATATGCTATTATTGGAAAATTTTTTTTATTGCAATAAATTAGTTTAAAGTAATTAAGATTATAAGCTAATTTTTATTAATTTAATGTGTTTATTTATATTTTAACTAGTGTTTTTTAATTTAATTATATTTTAATTAAATGATAGTGATTTTGTGAATTATGCGCATGTAGCATTTTGGAATACATTTCAGTAGAAGTAAACAAACATGGAAATAAGTTAAATATTTGAAACTAAGTATTTGCAATTTTTTTTAATGTTTGCCTTATAAATTCGCATGTGACATTTATAATGGATAATTTAGAGGGAAAAGTTTTTGGATATTTTATTTATTTTATACATGCAAATGTTCATCCTTGAAAAGGGTACATACTTTTCGTGATCAGGTAATTTCATATATGTACTTTTTACCGACTTTAAAGATTCACAAAATTTTCCTGCATTTTTGTGCAAATTTTTCTAGTTTATGAGAAAAAGCAGTGAACATGGATAAAGTCAAGAGTGTGCACAATGCCATTTTGTGCAATTCTGGAATGTATTTTTAAATGAAAATAGGTCGACGTGTACATGGTTACCGTGTACGTGCAATTCTTAAAAACGCGGCAAGGAGTTTGCGATTCTGCACTTTCTAACAATTCAATATTCGTCATGATTAAGCACTTTTGTTCCATAAAATTTCTAGCATAAGCGTAATTCGGCTAGCAGATTGTTCGAAAAAATGTTGAGTAAATAAAAAAAAAAGAAAAATGCCTTTACTTTGTGAAGACAAAATGATGCCGAAAAAAAAATTAGGAGGTTGCTGTAGCAGGGTTGGTTGCCAAATTTTCGCCAAAAATCACCAAGTTACCATAATCCAAAGATTAACCGAAACTTGCTTTGCCTTGCTAAAGACAATTGGAGCTGCAAAAATTAGCTCTAGCCAAAGAAACACGTGCCTTCGAAATCAGCTGAGAGCATAATCACCAACAATTGTGGCTTTGCATTCCTGGAAATGCATGCTCTGCATAAACTTTTTTGAGGTGGGATTTAAAATTCGAAAAAATTCCCTATTCCCTTTCCTTTTTTTTTTGGTATATTAAATTCCCGAAATTCCCGGAATTTTCCAGTTTTAGGTAGCATGGAACCCTTTATGAAATACTTAGGAAATAAAGGAGCAATTAGGATCTAAAGGGAAAAGCTTGAAAAAGCATATTATGTTTACTTTATTAAACTTTCTTTCAACACGCGCATGCGTAATGTATGCGCATTCTCTACATGCATGTGTAAAGTTTGTGGCTTTGATGTACGGATTATAGATCATTCCGGATAATGGACGTCCGGATTATAGACTTTGTACTGCATTAAGCTCTCTTTTTTTTTTTTTTTTTTTTTTTTTTTGTAAATTTTGATACCCTTTAGATCATAATTGCTCTTTATTTCTTTATTTTATAAATCACAGTTTACATTTTAATTGTATAATTCCTGCATGCCATCTTACCAGATTTAAATTGATGATCTGTAATCCAGAATCGCCGAGGTCCCAACGAGTCTGGATTATGGAGTTTGTACTGTAGTATTTTTGTTCTTCTCTTTATTAGATAGGATTTCTTAAACCAATTGATAAAATACAATAAGTTGCAGTAATAATCCTTTTTCTGATTTCAGAATTAATATCATTTTGATAGCTAATTTCGGAGCCCAAATAGGTGACAATTTTCTCATATTCAAATTTAAATGGGCCATTCTCAAATATTTTAGGTGGATTTTCCTTTTTACCAAAGTACATATATTTATTTTTTTTCACACTTACTTTGAGCTTCATTTTCCTTTCTGAATTCTCTAGTGCCAAAGGAGGTCTCTCTCATAGCACAGCTATAGATCTTGCAAATATCTACATCATCGGCAAAAGCCAGAATATGAACTGATTTATTAAATATAATACCTCTTGTATTGTTTCACATGTTAGGTTGAGAAAAAATTAGTCACCGACTGCTGACTTTGACGAAGCGTTGCTCAGATGATGCGATAATATTAATTTTTCTAATATTATTGCAACAGTAAAAAATAATTTACATGTTAAAAAAGTACGGAACTTAGATATTTTCCCACTAAGTGTTTTTAAAATAAAAACCATCTTTAATAATGTAAAATAATGCTAATAATGAATAAGCATAATATCACAATATAATGTTACAAATTTTGCATATACAGTACAAAAACTTTAATCCGGACTCATCGGAACTTCGGCGATTCCGGATTATAGATCATCAATTTAAATCTGGTAAGGTGGCATGCAGAAATTATACAATTAAAAATATGAAACGGTAATTTATGAAATAAAGAGCAATTATGATCTAAAGGGTATCAAAATTTACAAAAAAAAGCTTAATATTTATTTGTTTACTTTATTAAACATTTCTTTCAATGCACGCTTGCGTAAAGCATACATTACGCATAGTCGAAATCGGAAAATTGCAACCAGAAAACTATTCGATGTGTATTCGTGATATTTATAATGATGAGGAAATTGATTTAAATCATATCGGAGTACACTGAGATGAAACACTACATTTAGTAAGGAATTATAAGCTGAATAAAATAAAAACATCTGCCCTGAAAATGAGGATAGTGCTAACAGATCAACTTCCAGTTCATTGCATGCCGCGACGTCCCCCCATCGCAGAGCAGCGTGAAATTGATAAACAGATTTCGGAACGATTAGAGAAACAAATCACCTCTCTGTCACTTTCTTCATGCTTTTATCGATTTTTTGCAGCAATTCAACTTTTTGTTTAATGGTCATCGAAACATGCTTTCGCTTTGTAGATCCTTTGACAACTCCAGAACTGGAAACTCTTTTTGACATAATCGAAAGTTCAAGGTTACTTTTTATAAAATTGCTCTAACAGTCTGCAAAAAGTAATAAGTCGGATCCGATTAGAAGATTAAGGAACAACGCAATATGCAACATTAACTGAAATAGATAATTAGGTAATTTTTGCCTAGCTTATATCGTCCATTATACATTAAACGCACATGCGTAAACGTATTATGTGCATGCGCAGAATGTTTGTAGCTTTGAGGTACAAATTATAGATGATTCTGGATTATGGACGTCCAGATTAAAGACTTTATATTGTATATAAATGAACAGTGAAGCTTCATTGGAAAAATAAAGTTATGGGGACAAGGTCATTTAACACTTGTACATGGTTATCTATGCAAATTGAGGTAAATGGTTATCTTGAAAAAGTTTTGTCTCCAAACATGCTCCCCATTTTACGACATTTTAGCTTGGTTCCTGTATAACTAACTGTAACTGGCCCATTATAAAGAAACCACAAGCATGCACAGTTTTTGGTAATAAAAGCAGGATTGAATGCGCGAGACAAGAGCAATGAGGGAGCAACCGAGACAGCTGGCAACAGCCTTTGTTACATTCTAAGAAAAGAAGAAAGGGGTCATCAAGGCCATTAAAGAAGAGATGAAAGCAGGCCATGAACAAATGAAAAGGCCCTTCAAGTCCAATGAAAGCAAACCAAAAAGATATGAAAAGATAGAACAAGCCCAGGTCAAAAGAAAATTAAACGAAATTGTTACCATAATAAAAAGCAAATTCAAGACTACAAAAAACAGAATAGACATAGTTGAAAATAAAATTGGTAAAACTGAAGAAAGAGTTTCGACTGCTGATCAACAAATTGAAGAAAAACTTTCTACTGCCAAACAATAAGTTAGAAAAAGAGTTCCTGCTGTCGAACAACAGAATGAGTGCAGAGTTCCTGCTGTTGTCAAGAAGTTGAATGATTGAAATAATCTTTTTTAATTATTCAAAGGTTTATTATAGGGCAATACAAAAATAAAAAAAAATTTTTACGTTTCTCATGACATCTTCATCAGAGGATCAGTGCCCTGAGAAAGTAAAAAACACGCCCTGTTTCTGAGCTTATCAATGAACAATGTAATAAGGACAAATAATTTTAATAATTAAAAAATTTAGATAAAATAATAATAAAAAATAGTTAAAATTTAAATTGAAACAGCAACAGAAGATAATTTTTTTTTAAATGAACAATGTAACCACTTCCCCACACCCCCCCCCAAAAAAAAGAATGAGTGCTGAAATACAAACATCAAACAAACATTAAAAAAAAAAATCTGAAAGGTTTCAGATTTTAAATTACATCCAAAGGGGCTTTTTTTTAACGTTTTGTGTGTCACCTTTATTTATTAAATACCATGTTCTTCGTACTTAAACCATAAAATTCACTTCAATAGCAATGTCGCAAAATAATTTTAAAATGAGCCTATCTTTAGAATTTCCAATACACATTTCCGTGTGCTGGAGATAAAAAGGTTCCTCCCCCCACCCCGGTAGATTGTTGCTATTGCTCGCTTTCAAATCGTTGAGTTTGTTACTAAAATATTCGTTAAAGTTTTACAAAATATGAAATTGATAATATAACAAATTCCAAATTTCAAATTTGGGCTTCCACATGCCCATATTCGCAGTAGGATTACTTCATTCAAAATTCGATGGCTCTATGCATCATTGCTTTATCACAATGCGAGAAATATACATACATTTATGCAGATTTTTCATTTTTAATTTCTTCAAATATAATGCAGAACTCTAACATTTGGTGGCTAAAGTTTGAAAAGTGAAACGGACATTTAGAGTGATTCAACACAAAATTGCAAAACGAAAACAATAGTCCTTCAGGGACAAAGCCCCGTTGGACTAAAAAAAAAAATCAAAGGTTCATAAAATATCATAAAAATGTTTTACAACCAGTTTTCCTTAATTTTCTAATTTCTTTCCAGTTTTTATACATATATATTGAAATTTTCTTAGGAAGTCTTACACAAACATGTAAATCACTTTTACTCAAATCATATAAATGGAAGTATTTTATTTTAAATCATACCAAAATTTACATAACATTCTATACTTTACCTTTGACAGCAAATTTTGCAATTCATGAGGATGGAGTTTTTGAACTTCTCCTAATTGCACAGCAGCTGCTTTCCGAGTTAATGGTGAAGAACCATTTTCTAGCAATGAGAACAAGCGTTCTAATCTGAAAGGAAATAAAGTTCAGAGTGTATTTAAAGCATCAGCTAGCAAAAATCTTAAAGTCAGAATATGATTTTTTAACAGAGTTGGCTAAACATTCTAACAGCAAAATGTGATTGCCAGAAGCTAACTAAAGATTCAAATCCCTCTGCTATTATATATACAAAGCTAATATGCAGTCTGGTATGAACTACAGAAAAGAGAAGGACTAATCTTTGGAATATGGTAACAGGTAGTTTGGCGACATTTTGGTAAGGCGATAAAGGTTACTAGCTAGGACTTTAACAGTGTACATGGATAAAGTCAAGAGTGTGCGCAATGCCATTTTTGTGCAATTCTGAGATGTTTTTTTAAGCGAAAATAGGTCGACTTGTACATGGATGATACCATGTATGTGCAATTCTTGAAAACGCAGCAAGCAGTTTGCGAATCTGCACTTTCTCTCAATTTCGCACCTAATCTTCGTCATTATTAAGCATTTTTGTTCCATAAAAGTTCTAGCATAAGCATAATTTGGCTAGCAGATTGTTGGAAAAAAATGTTGAGTAAAAGAAAAAAAACATGCCTTTACTTCGTGAAAACAAAATGGCATCCAAACAAAAAGTAGCAGGTTGCTGTAGCAGGGTTGGTCACCAAATTTTCACCAAAAAATCACCAAGTTACCATAATCCAAAGATTAGCCAGGAGAAGACTTAACTAAGGTATAATGATCATAACTGGTTATTTAACTTAAGATACTTTACAAATCTAATAACTTGGCTTTTAAGTTACGCAGTCACACTAATGGCTGAACAGTTGACAGCTGATAGCTTGTCTTGGAAATTAATCCAGGCGAATGAACTGGCTGCATGTTTTTTTATTAATATTATTATTATTTTCCCCATATACTATATGAATGCGAGCCACCAGAATCAAAAAGAAAATCAAAAAAAGAATGACCAGTACGAATTTTTTTGACTTAAAATTCTAAATAAATAGTTAAACTAAAAAACAACTATCTAATCAAACCATGTACAGACAAGGAAATGTTCATCATAGCATTAGGTTTTTATCAAACTGAATCCCGCACAGACACGGAAATGTTCAAAATAGCACAGGCTGCCATACACCGCAAAATATTTGCCGATTAATCCAGGTCTGTGGAGTCGGATAGATTTTTGGGTAAAAGGAGTCGGAGTCGCTAAAAAAACACGTTGACTCCAGTTTTCGTTGAACAGTTTAAATTTGAAATCAAATTAAAATGAATTGAAAAAAAAAAATTAATGACAAACTGAGTTAATATTTTTATTTATGAACTATATACATTAATAAATAGTTATTTTTCTATTTTATTGATATATTAATAAATAAATATAAATGGAAAAGAATGGATGTGATATTCGCCATTATTGATCAAACTGCTTCATTTAGTTACAATTTAGGTAAAGCAGCAATAGCAGCAAGAACTCCCAAAAATTGATGGCATTCTTAGGAAGCGAGCAGGAAAAGGAGCAACGCAATGGAGAATATCAATATATGTAGATATTTGATGACATAGTGGTTGTTAGAATTAAGAACTTTTTCAGTAAATAACATTAATATTCACTAACAGAAAGACTGTGGGATGATCTTACAGAACTGGAAACCCTTCTTTCAATCCTGCATATAGCCACAAAAAAGCTACAATCTGAAGAATTAACAGGAGATGAAAATGTTAGAAGACGTAGATAACCCCTAATGTTTCACTAGCAGAAAGACTGTGGAATGATCTTGCAGAACTGGAAACTCTTCTTTCTATACCGTATATAGCCACCAAAAAGCTACAATCTGAAGAATTAACAAGATGCAAGACTGGAAGAATGTGATGTTTGTTCTTTTGAAATGAAGGAATCATTTCTTCAATGAAGAAAATAGAAACTAGTTTGCTAGACAATAAGATCGTGCTGGGTTCAATATATGTAGATCCAAAATGCCGAATTTTGTTGGATGACAAACAAATTAAAAAGGCAAACAAAGCAATCTATGAAATTTCATTATGAATGAAATTATTCTGGAGTGTTCAAATTAGGACAGTCAACCTGCAGATATTGCAACCGAGTCTTTATCATCCTCTTCCACTGATGAATTAGATTTTGAGAAATATTTGGATAATACTGAAAAGGCTAAGGCAAAGCAAATGAAAATAAATAACCAAAAGCTTTTAGATATAAAAATGAAAAAATACAAACAAGATTTATACACAGCCTTTGAAGAAATAGATAAACATGATTGCTCTTGCAAGACACCTCTTTTAGAACTTCTAAAAAATCTATCCTGAAAAGTTAAAGGAAGTAGCCTTAACAGTAACAGCTATTCTTCCTACTCAAGGCAGTGTGGAAAGACTCGTCTCAGTTCTGAAGTTTATCAAATTGGATCTATGGTCCTCTAACAAAGATCTTGCTGAAGTTTTACTGTTTCTTAGAAATTATTAATGCCAGTTTCTCCATTTCATAATAACTGCTAATTAATATAAAAAAATTGATATGCATCAATTTTTTTCTGTAGCATCTGTTACTTCTTTTATATTAAGAAAATAAGCTGCACCCATATATATATGTTTACATATATATGAAGGAGTCGGAGTCGAAATCGGTCATTTTTCCTACAGACTCCAAAGCCCTGGATTAATCATTGGGATACAGTTAATGCTACAGAACTAAAACAGATTGCGGTGTACCTTAGAAGAGAGGAAAAAAATTACGGAGAGATTTCTCAAAAAATGTGCAAAAGCTTTATTTATTTAAAAAGAATAAAAACATAGGCAGCACTGATTGCATTATTCACATAGAAGTTAAGATACTAAACAAATGGATCTCTGTAGTCAGTAGCGAATTCTTGATTGTTTTCAAAAGGGCAACAAGTTCACAACATTTTTGTTATGATGTGGATAATCAGAAAGTACCAAAGTAACATTGCAATTACAGAACTTTCAGTTGAACATTGCAAGTACAGCACATGAGGCTAAATGATACAAGGCTTGAGCATCCTTGCTACAGCAGATTATACAGGGGGGATGAAAAAAGCAAATGTACATATTGCATTTTAGACAACTGAGTTTTTAATGATCACAATAGCAATTAATATTATGCTAAATGTTACTTTAAAGAAAATGGTTATTAATAGCTATGATAAAGAATAAAACAGGTACTACTTTTTTAAGATGACACAACCAATTAAAATCTCAAAAGAGAGCAAAAGGTATATTCCAAAATTAAAATATACACATATGTGAAAGCTATAAAAATTGCACTCTGTAATACAGAAAAAGAATATAGATTATAATACTACATAAAAATTCACTGTTATTACTTCAACAAATCATCCAGATCTATTCAGTATGTAAGTAGATGTAATACACTGTGTTAAAAAAATATTTTTCACATAAAATTTTCTTTAGTATAACTCACCTAGATGCCATGATCTATTTAGAGTAACTGCAAATATGATGCTTTTTTACTCTGACCACTCACATAGGACGCATCTGCTAGATCTTTAACTAATAACATTACATTGGATTTGTAAAGAACGCTTAAAATATTTGGAATGCATAAAACTCAATGGAGTGTCTTCAATGAAAATAAAAAAAAAAACTTATACAAAAGTCGTTATTATTAAATTAAAATACAAATTTAAAGATGCATATTTAATCAAGCTTTCTGTTTAGTATAAATACATATCAACAAAACGGATGTAAACACTTATTTTATAAAAGTGGGGATGATTAATATTCAATAACAGAAAACTGAAATCACAAATAATCTTCGTCTGAAATCATTTTAATGATCCCTGATAGATAACAATAACCTTTCAACCAGTGTCTAACAATAAATTACGAAATGTAAAATAAATTACGACGAAATAATCACAAATTATAAACTTATGGCTCCAGGACGCACTTCCACGCGCGGTCATATTTATAGTGTTAGCCATCTTGCCTTGAATGCCAAATATACCGGCATCAATAATATGATTGGTCAAGAATAATACTACTCTCGACCGCATATTGTTAGAAAGATTTCATTATTTCCCGAAGCAAAGAAATAAACATTATTTTGCTTTACATAAATGGCAACAACTAAAATATGTAATCCAAACTTGTACAACTACTAAGAATTTGAGTTTTAGAAAGCAATGCTTCATTTTACTCTGCATAAAGTGAAAAAATGAATAGTGTGAACAAAATAAGGCGAAAGTATTAAACCGATGAATAGAAGAGTCTAACATGAGTAAAAAATGTTAAGGATGGAGTATGTCAGATGGATATTTGTGTCTTTCTCTGGGAAATGAAGAACATGGAAATGGAGAGTTGATGCAGTTGCTAGAATGCGTAAGTACTGAAACGAAGAAATTTCTGGCAAGTTTTTAACACGATGAATAAACGAATTTGGAATGAGGCGTTCATAATCTCTCTGAGTGCTTTGTTCTGAACAACTTGGATATGTTGAAGGTGAGGTTTTGCAGCATGGAACCAGATAGGACCAGCTCTGTGCTGGTCCTATTATAGGTTTATATAAGATGAGTTTATTTGAAGTGGCTATATGAGTTATTCTGTCAGTAAGAAGTAGCACAGTTGCAAGCGTGATATTAATTTTTTGCGCAGATTCCCTCAGATGTTTCTGGAATTTTTTTTTTTATCTAGAATGATTCCTACATATTTAACTTCGTCAAACCAGTTAATTTTTTTAGCAAATAGAAGAGGTCTCGGTAGTGTGAAATTTGTCTGTCCTTTACGAAAAATTATTACTTTTGATTTTTCAGTAATAATAGCAGTCCTCCAAAGAGTGACCCAGGTTTCAAGAATGTTCAAGTAATCTTGAAGAAGGTACCGGACAACTGTAACTTTTCAAGCTGGGGTCATAATTGCTGTGTCATCTGCGAAAAGAGTTATGGTAATTCGTGGTTCTTTAGGAAAATCGCAAATGTAAATGCTATATAAATAGGGAGAAAGTAGTGACCCTTGCGACACTCCAGCGAAAGACGTTTCTCATGATAGAAACAGTATTGCGAATTTTCACTGTAAAGTTTCTTTCTTGGAGACAAGAAGGAATAAGTCTTATGCAATGATCTGGAAAGTTCAATTTCATAAGTTTGTAGATAAGTCTCCGGTGCCATACCCTAGCAAACGCTTTTGCAATGACAAGGAAGAAGGCTCCGGTAAGGAACTTAAAGTTGAAACCGGCAGTATAGTTGATGACACGAAGCAGCTGCTGATTAGTACTATGAAGATGATGGAAGCCAAACTGTTCTTCTGGTTTGTAGGATTGTTCTTGTGGATTTGATTTAAATGATATAGAATAATTTTTTCAGCTATTTTAGAAAGCTGACTTAATGCCTAATTGGACGGTAGTTCTGTTGGAACGTGGAATTTTGATGCTGTTTGGGGAAGATGACGATGATGGCAATATTAGGAAAGTATGAGAACTTGCCCTACCTAACAACCTTCGTCAAACCAGTTAATAGGCAATCAACTTAGGTATGGCGAGGAATGTAAAGTTCAAAGAACCTGGGATTTTTAAGAAGGTATTAACAGTATCATAATTGTTGTCGTAAGGAGTAGTATTGGGAATAAATGTTTCTTCTAGTAAATCAGCAAAGATGTTGGCTTTGTCTTCGTCTGAATAAACCATTCCGCTGACGCTATGGAGTGGCAGAATTTGCTTGAAAGGTTTGTCAAATTTCTTTGCAATGTCAAAAAGAGAATTATCTTATGTTGCAGGAGAGTTAGAAAGTTTCGGCGTTTTGAGTCTTGGCTCTCTTGTAATTTGCTAGTTTTTCTTAATACGAATTTACATTTTACTTTTTGTCTTATGCTTGCTGGAAGTGAAAGAAAAGGATGGGAACTGATGAATTTGTTCGCAGAGAAATAGATAATATGTTGAGTATAAGTGATGACTTGATTTCATGATCAATATCGTCCTCACTGAAGATGTTGGGATTTCGAGGAATGGTATCTGAAATGATTTTTGCAAATCTTTTCCACTCTGTGATGCCAATACTCCTGCCTAGAGAAGGTAAATAATACAAAGAATGTAAAATTCCTATTCGGCTTTTGAAACTTGATCAGAATTTATACTCAAACAACAATGATAATAATAAGAAGAAGCTGAAAGCTTTCTGATTTTATATTACGGCCAAAGGGAAATTTTTTCTCATTTACACCCACATACACGTTTCGAGAGCGTTTGGGTGAATGTCCATTTAGTCTGAAAATTTTTAAAAACAGAATATCTTTAGAATTTCAGATAGAAAGAAACTTTACAGTGAAAATTCGCAATACTGTTTCTATCACGAGAAACGTCTTCGCTGGAGTGTCGCAAGGTTCACTACTTTCTCCGTATTTATATAGCATTTACACTTGCAATTTTCCTAAAGAACCACAAATTACCATAACTCTTCGCAGATGACACAGCAATTATGACCCCAGCTTGAAAAGTTACAGTTGTCGCCAGAGATAAAAATCTTTTTCGCACGGTGTTGCCATTGCTTGCTTTGAAATCGTTGAGTTTAGTTTAATAATCGTTTAATAAAACATTCGTTAAAGTTTTATAAAATATTAAATAGATATTAAACCAAATTTCAAATTCGCCCTTCCAGGTACTCATGTTCGGTTGGAGAATTATTCAAAATTTGGTGGTTCTAGGTACAGTTGTTTTTTCACAATGCTTTAAACATATATACATTCATGCAGATTCTTCGATATTTAATTTCTTTATACATAATAAAGGGAGATGATATTTTGTGGCAACAATTTTAAGAGTGATATAACGCTTTTTCTGATTAATCGTAAAATGCCGTTTCGAGACTAATAACCCTTCTGGTCTAACGCCATTTTGGGCTAAAAACCGAAAAAGGCAAAAATTTTCGCTCCATAAAAGAAGAATAAAATACAAAACTACCAGGCTTCTAAATTTCATTACCTCTTTTTTCACTGAGAAGCGAAAAATTTCAAAATTTCCATCAGTATTGAATAGAGTTCTGTCTGACTACTCAGTCAAAGAACTTAATGGAATCACAGAAAACTACTCATGTTTCTCGCTTCAGTGGTCATGTACACCTTATGGTGTCCTAAGATATGCTTATTGTATCCTCCTTCTCCTAGAGCTGAGTGTAACATATGTCTTGCATTGCCTTTGTTTAGGAAAATGGTGATTAAGACAAAAGAAATATAACGTTGTAAGGTATATTTAAATTTTATAAAAGAAATGTAACATTGTAAAGCATATTTTAATTTTATAACAGTTATCTGTTATAATGCATCTTTCCTATTCTGCCTAATTTCAACTTAAAACTCATTACTAGATTTATTTCTTAGAATCGCGTTAAATGCAAAGCAGAAGGAGACTAGTATTTAAGTCAATTTCCAAAAGACAGAGAGAGAGTTAAGATTCCTGAGTAGGCGTTTTTGCCTTTGGGATACGTTTCTCTAAGTTGTTATTTACGCTCGGAAGTATTACGTGCCTTTTGATAGTTCGCTGGCTAATTTAACATTACGGGCCAACAAGCAGTTAGAATTGTATTAGCTTCGGCTAAATCTCTTTAGTGAGTCATTATAGTTAGTTCTTATTTCTTATATTTTAAGCCAAAGTGGAGGCTTTGCTGTCCGCCCTAAGAAAGGGGATGACTGTTAATTTTATTTTGAGTGAGTAAAGGGTAATTAACCCTTTTTAAGTTTACGTTTCTGTTCTTAGATTTAAGCGATTATTCGCTTACCAGTTCATTAGGTTCCTCGACATTATATTTAACAGGATAAAAGTCAGGAACTCTATAACGTAGTTATTTTACTCTAGGATGAAATGTGTAATTTGAATGCAATGGGGATCGTAATATTCTAAATTTAGAGGAATTTAATGGTTAATAAATTTTGTTAAATATTGCCGAAAATTTGGAAAAATTATGAAAAAGATACAAAATGGTGTCAATCGAACATATTTATATAGTTCGTTATATCGGCTTTACATACTCCTGGGAGTTTTTTATAACCGTATAAAATATCATTAAACGTCTAGGTAACTGGAAGGAAACAAAAAGTTCGTTTCTTATACACCAGAGCTTATTATAAGTCGGGTTGGTATCAGCGGGGTTAGACGACATTATAACTTTAATCCCAGCTTACATCATTGCATTTTAAGGAATGTAATTATCAATTATTGTGAAAAATAGGGACAAATATTGATACAATTTCCTTGTTAGCAAGTCCTTTTTACTTTAGCAAGAACTGAAATTACATGACTTGATGGTATTTTTAGTATGCTTTTATCGTCATGACTACATAAAAAATTAATTTTTACACTACCAGCTCAATCTTGGAAAACTTTTAAAGCTTTAGTACATCGATACGTTAGTACATGACCATATATGCGTATATTATTGAAAAAGAATAGTCGAAAACACTACAATCCCTTAATAACAGTGAATAGCAGCGGGCGTAATGTGGCCGTCTCGTTGATTTACTAATCTTGTCCTACCAGAGCTGATGGAGTTTCAGCCTCCGAGGACAACTAAAGACCTCGCTTCTTGTTTGCCAAGAATGGAAAACATTTCAGTCGAAAAATTCGTAACATACATTCGGCGCCTCCTGGATGCTGCACCCTTGGACAGATGTTCCCCTTGCCCTCCCTACGTTCCTGTATCACACACCCCTTTTTCTACTCCAACCTTCTTGAAATAAAATGAGATCAGTCTTAACGAGCATAAGTAAAGTTATGCATGTGAATTAAAAAAAACAAGTGATTTTGATTTTAGCATTAAAACAAAACTAATTTTGCATTGTAATCTAAAATTTTAAGAATAAGAAAATTACGAATTGCAAGATTTTAGCAAAATTGAAAATGCAAGACATCATCAAAACACTCTAAGAGTGTTTTCTAAATAAATCCATTAACAGTGTAATCATAGCT